TTTTCCTGACCCGGGAACCTAACCCGGCCTAACCTCCCGCATTCGCCAATCGATTCCCGGCTGGGTGAAGCGGAAATTTTTTCTCTCTAAATTCTAATTCTCTTAGAATTCTTTAATGCCTAAAGGAGGTTAGGCGGTGTTTGAGGTGAATTTGAGAGTGAATTTCTGTGGTTCCCGGTAGCTTAGTCGGTAAGAGTGCCCGGCGCGTATCTGGGAGACCCGGGTTCGATTCCCGGCTGGGTGAAGCGGAAATTTTTTCTCTCTAAATTCTAATTCTCTTAGGATCGGTCGCTCGGTCTTAGGAAGGATGTCGCGAATTTACCAAAAGATACAGAAAAATCAAAAGGAAGAATCAGAAAGTTAATTAAATAGGGGATGAGAGAATTACTTTTAAATTTACTCCGCGATTTATTCAATTTCTCAATAATACTTCAACTCCAATAGAATTTCTATTCTTCATAAATAAATTAAATTAATTTCAATTAAATTTAACAAAATTAAATTCGATTAAATTCCCGAGAGTGAGAGTACGTGAATTGACCTTGAGAGAGAGGTTATTGCGACAGGAATGGAGGGTCCGACGAGTCCAGGCCAACGATCTCTCCGCATCGTCCAGAAACCGGAGTGCTGGAGGATCTGGAGGCGGCGTTAATTCCAAAGCGATGATCTCGGCGAATCTCCTCATAACAATAACTGACAATTAATGGGCGAGGGACTCTAATATGCAAATGTCACTTAAGAGTACCATTTTGCCCCATATTCGAGTCCGTCCGCCATCAAGAGCGTTGTGGCGTCACAGGAAAATTTCTGGAGAAACCCTAAATTAATAATCTAAAACCTTTGGGGCACCTTACTGAGCTAGAAGAGCACTCATTTGAGGCTCCAATTCGCTTTAGAAAGAGAATAAACCGCCATGTACACGACAGCGTCACCCACGGCACGTGAGGAGCATGTGTGCACTTGTAGGCATGTTTTATCCACTTTCGCCAACTAAAATTGGCACTGGACATTCCCCTCTACGTAACAAGACCTCTTGGTTAACGGAGAGGGCACAATGGCGCCATGGCAGNCTATCACTCGGGAGAGGTCTGGAGAGCTGAACGAGGGTTTTATACACTCAGTGGTGCATTTATCCACCCGCTCAGAGGAGTTTTGGAGGTTGGGAATGCATCTCGGCGTCACTCTTGTGAACGCCGGTGCACTTTTCCCGGAGGTCATCACTCGGCACACTGGGAATAAATGCATTTCCCTCCTCGGGAGAGAGTGCACATGGTGAATGAAAATGTACTTACCATGTTCCTCGTGTGGGCCCTCGGCGATGGTCTCTACCAACTCTTTCGATCGCTGTCAATATTCTCGGGGATGTTATCGCAGTGGTTGCTCGGGTCCAACTCTCTCGTAAACTGCGTCTAACCGGCGGAGGTTCTCAGCTGGGTGGCGCGACTGGCACGCCGTCTAGCTGCCGCTGGGGCGGGCTCATGTAACCGAGCACGCGGGGATTTTGATTCAAATGGGTTTTAGACTTATTTTAGGCATTCCGCCGCTAATTATTTCTTTTATGAATTAACCCAAGGGGTTTTGTCCATAGTGGCTGAACCATAGCTATCTGGAGGTTCGGAAAGGGGGAATTAAGGCAGTTGTTCGCCTTTTCTCCTCGCGAGTGCCCTTCTCCCCTGAGTGAGTGCACTTTTCGCTGCTGTCACTCTCCCGGAAGTCATCCTGGAGTCACCGTGAACAAATCTAAAGAGAGAATAGCCCATGGCGATCCATGCAGACGAGTGGGCTATGTTCATCCACATGGCCTTCCAGCTGCACTGGTGATTCCAACGACTCCACGAAATGCCTTAGCCAGGGAGCGTGAGTATTTCACCTCAACCTCTGTGATCAGCAGCCGCACTCAACGAGATCAGCGAGATCTCACCGGGAAGCTCGGTGTATCGGCTCTGAACCGCGGTGGATCGTCGTCCCTCTCAGGATTCGCGAGATTTCAAAATACAAAAATATAACTAGGAAAATACAATTACTGTAAATTTTCCCTCAACCATAAAACCGAAAATTTATCCCCTAAAATCCGAAGTAAACCAGAAAGATAACTGAAACTAAAAGAGAACAAAAACTTTAATATTACTTGAACCGGAGATTTTACTTTTTACTCGTTTTTAATGTGTATCGACACGTGAATTTGATTATTTATAGAAATCGAACGTTGTTTTCCCCGCGAGGCCCTTCCTGATGTTCTTGGAGACCGGTTTCTACGAGCTGGAGCTAAAAGGGGTGTTGCATCGCCCTTCGGTAGGGGTGCTAACTTTGGGGTTAAAGGAATCGCAACTCTCTGTCCGAAAAGATCGAAATAAATTCACACTTACCTACTCACTCTTACGATTTACTTAATTCTACGACTAAGTTGTGTACAGGTGGCGGAATTCTCGAAAATTCCGCCACAACATGGTAGAAGGAAATGATGTGCAAAATAACCATTTTGCAGCCTATTGCTAATTTATTAGTAAAAATAATTATACTACACAATACATATTACAAGAGCAATTTTTCACTTGTTTACATTCAATGAAGTAAAAAATTCATTTAAAAAATAAAATAATTTTCTTATCAAATTTTCCACTTTCCTTTGTACTTTATTCATCACAGTTCGAAGTTCAACAGAAATTAATTCTCTTTGACGTTGAATTTTTTTTTTTGAGGATTTATTTCACTTAACCTTTACACCGAACTGTCGGTCTGTGGGACCGCTATCAAAACTTTTAGTGTCGAACTGTTGATAAATGTAAGAACAAAAATTTCGAACGTCCACTAGCTTCCTATTTCATCGGTTCCAATCGATACAAAACGTTTTTGTCTTTTTTGCTCCGATAAATCCATGAAACCATCAATGTTTCTTCTAATTTATTACCTGAGGGAATTCATTGAAAATAATAATTAGCACCAACTGTTCATAGATTAATCTTTGCATCGAACCCCTCCGAAAACGCACGTTTACCATATCCCGCGGTCTGTTAGACCGTTAACTTTACACCGCCAAAGATATGATAAGATCATCTCAAAATCTTAATTTTTTGAGTATGTTCCCTATGCCCTGAAAATTTTTGCAAGAGAAAGTCCTATAGCGCGAGCGCTGACGGGTTAGAAACGCATACTGACGCGAGTCCTGACTGGTTAAAAACGCATCCTGCGGTTCGCGCAGCGTGCTTGAAACTCAACTTCTGCACTATGTGACATAAAATATTTTTTTGTGTTCCGCCCGTAAGGCAGCGTTTCACAAAAAATATTGTACGTTATACGGCCAAAAAAAATTTTTCTGGCGAATATGAGGTTTGCAGCACGAGCCGAAGGGGAGGGACAAATTTAAGACAAATTCGTCAAGTTTTTTTCGGCCTAATGACGAAATATACTATTGCAGCACGAGCCGAAGGTGAGGGAAGGCGAAGTTTTTTTGCCCGTATGACGAAATATACTATTGCAGCACGAGCCGAAGGCGAGGGCTGCAATCATATTCATCAGAAAATTTTTTTTTGGCCGTAAGACGATCAATATTTTTTATCATGATGGCCGTAGGCAGAGATTTACGAACGCGGAGCGAAGCGGAGCGTCCGTGAAACGCTGCCTTACGGCCGGAATGACAAAAAAGTTCCTCACGGCCTAGGGTCGAAATGTACTAATTTCGCTTCGCTCGGTTAAATCGCGGTTTTCGGGCCTAATGACAAAAAATATTATTCGACACATGGCCGTGGGAACTTTTCTACCTCATATGATTACAGAACTCGCTTTCGGCTAGCCCTGTAACCTCATATTCGCCAGAAAATTTCCTCGCGGCCTAGTCAGCGTTGCCAACCATACCATTATCATGGTATCTATACCATGAAACTGGCTCCGATACCATGTACCATGATGCCCATCATGGTAACATGGTATACCATTTTTCACGCGAGGAACGAAGGGAATGTCCGAAAAATTCATTATCTTCGGATAACTTTATTAAATATTTTAATGCTTTTCTTTCCTGAAAATTGCATTGATTATATGGCTTCTATCAGCAGCTGGATCTCCTGGATATTGTTCATTCGCAATTAATGAAAAAAATATATATTGTAGTGATGAAATTTTTTCAATGAATCTCCAATGACAATAAAAAAAGCTTTTCTGGCGAATATGAGGTTTGCAGCACGAGCCTAAGGGGAGGGACAAATTTAAGACAAATTCGTCAAGTTTTTTCGGCCTAATGACGAAATATACTATTGCAGCACGAGCCGAAGGTGAGGGAAGGCGAAGTTTTTTTGGCCGTATGACGAAATATACTATTGCAGCACGAGCCGAAGGCGAGGGCTGCAATCATATTCGCCAGAAATTTTTTTTTTGGCCATATGACGATCAATATTTTTTATCATGATGGCCGTAGGCAGAGATTTACGAACGCGGAGCGAAGCAGAGCGTCCGTGAAACGCTGCCTTACAGCCGGAATAACAAAAAAGTTCCTCACGGCCTAGGGTCGAAATGTACTAATTTCGCTTCGCTCGGTTAAATCGCAGTTTTCGGGCCTAATGACAAAAAATATTATTCGACACATGGCCGTGGGAACTTTTCTATCTCATATGATTACAGAACTCGCTTTCGGCTAGCCCTGTAACCTCATATTCGCCAGAAAATTTCCTCACGGCCTAGTCGCCTAGTGTCGAAATGTACTAAATAGATCCCTCGTTTTCAAACAATGTGAGTACAAACCTCGCCTTCGGGTCGGCCTGTAAACTTCATATTCATCGAAAATGAAATTTGTGCCCCTGTACTTTAATATACTATAATGACGCGGAGTCCAGGGGAATTAATTATTTTTTTGCAGTAGAAAAAGTCGAAAATTAATCAAAACCTTAAAATTAAGTGACTGATAGATCCGGAAGTAAAAATAAATCTATATTACAACAGTATATTTTCAGAACTCCTCCGACTCAAACTCACGAAATCACCTAATAAGTAAATATCTACATTTCTAGGCAGTCTATAATTTGCTAGGCGAGACCTTGTCAAAGATGCAGCAGTACGCCGAGGCGGAGAGATGGTTCCAAGCTTGTCTCGTCAGAGAACCCAACTATATTCCAGCTCACATTACTTATGGAGAGTTACTTGCCCGTAATGTATGTTACCTCCTTTTGAGGCATCATAAAAATGGATATCAAGTGTCAATGTGTAACGGTATATCATTGTTTTTGCAGTCGAGTCGTGTGCTGGAGGCTGAACGGTGGTTCGTCAAAGCTACAAGACTCGCCCCCGATGACCCAAATGTGCACTATCGCTACGGTAATATTTCATAATTTTTCTACGATCGTTTTTGTTATAGTTGACGCTATTCCGGTGACATCTTTCCAATTCATTATACAGTGTCTTCCTCTGATTTAATTGGTCGAGTGGTTTTCAATTGCTTCGGGGAAATTTGATATTCTCTGATAGGAACTTTGTTTTCAATATTGCTTCTCCTTTGTCATATGAGAATCGGCGTTGAAGAGGACTCGTCTCATTTTTAGCCGATGGAAATGGGTCATGTAATGCAATTTCACCGTCCATTTTCGTTAATTAGAGTTGTTAGATTGGAGAGGGAAAATCAGGAAGAAATTCTGAAATTATTCATGCGTACGATTTGACATATTCATTTTTGCTCTGTAATTCAATCTTTTTATATTCAATCCAAAATGATCAAAAATGATGGAACTGCAAGCCTAAGACTAAGTTGTAAAAAAATGTAGGGAAACGTTTGCTGATGAAAATGTTGGCAGATGTAATTCACTTCGACTCACAGTTTTTGTTTTTAAATCATTAGAATTGATATGATGTGAGATCAATCTTCAATACAAATTGAATCAGAACCTAAAATTTAAGAAAACCCCACTTACGTCTTAGAACATAAATCCAATATCAAATTTCTCTTATTGAGAATTGAAAATAACATGATCAATATCTCAAGCCATTAAGTTCACGAAACAACTAGAAATTCCAGATCAACATTATACAGATTAAATTATTTAACAGAACATCAGCATGTCGGACAAATTAATTTCCGATTATATTCAATCCTGACGCAATTAATCCCTCCATATTGAATCCGGAAAGATCACAGATACTAGAGCCATACGCTAAAATTAATAAAAAACACTTGATATAACCCACAATATCCTTCATGTCAAATGCACCAAAAACAAAACAATCATAGCCAATATATCTTACCAAGGATTTGAAAATCTGAACTGAAACAAAACATCTGAATTTATATGAAGTTGAGTTCAAAACTGAAGAAAACCCCTCAAAATCATGAGAATAATCTGCTGAACTAGCCCTGATTATTGAGAAAAAATTTGTTTCTCCTATTCATTAAAAAAAACCTGCGCTTTGGTACAAGATAGAACCAAATTGCATTCTTATACATGTACTTTGTACAATTCGAGTGTTCCACTGACATAACATTTAGTTTTCTATTCCTCAACGAAATGAGATTATATCACGTCTTTTAGATAGTTTGTTATGTTCAAAATTTGTATCTTATCGATAAAAAAAAATTGACTGTCGAATTAACATTGAGTTACTTTTTTGTGGAATTATTACTTTACTAACTACCTCTTCAAAGGCACATCCAAATGAAATCCTTGTAAAGCGCTCATTTGACGATTACGCGTGCATGTGCCTCGATTCCTCAGAAACAATTAATTTTTCTTGTTCTTTAATATGAAACGCTCCTCAAATCTAATAAAATTAAAAAAAAATCATCCCACAGTGAAAATCTGCACTCTCAAATTCCAATTTCAGGAATGTTTTTATCATCTCAAAATCGGTTCGCCGAGGCCGCCCGTGAACAGCTGAAAGCAGCTGAACTAGCCCGTTCAGACTACGAATTATCAGTGGCAGCAGCATCAGCCCTTCGTCATGCCGGCCGTCATGACGAGTCTGAGACGTGGTACAAGCATGCAGCAAGCCTAAAGCCCAATGAAGCAACGAGTCACACAAATCTCGGGGCAATACTCCACATAAACGGAAAATATCGTCAAGCAGCAGCTGCATATCGCAAAGCACTACGTCTACAGCCAAATGATCCAACGACAATTACAAATCTCTACAAATTAATGGCGCTTATAACGTGACCCTCGGTGGGGGATCCCCTGTCCCCCTTCATAAAACCTCATATTTCGGAAGGGAGGCAAAACGCTACTGATCCGATTTATTTTACTGAACCAAAATTTAATCGCAACTTCTCTTCCTGGTATTTATTTGACAAATGGTTCGACTACTATTCAATAATAATCATGTACGTGCGTAAAATCATGAATCAATGGCGTTCAACTCATTCATACTGCCTGCTATGATACATGTAAATGAATAAAGCTTAGTTTATTTTTCTCTATGATCATGTGTGTTTGTTTTCATGATTAATTATTGATAATCGTGTGATGTTTGAGGAGAAGACATTGTCGGGCAATTATTTTATCAATTTTTCGCTGCTAAAGGACTACGTCATCATGCTGAATAATTGTTGAATTAAAAGGTTGTGCATTCAGTTGTTTACAATAACAAGTGTTTATTCTTTCTTTTCTTACATTTCTTCATTTCTTGTTATAAAACTGTCATAAATTGTGGAGAATACTGAAACATTGAAATTCTTTATTCTTTGTTGTTTAAAAAATAATTATTCCTTTGTATTTTAGGTGGGTTACTCATTGGATATTTTGAATATTTTGTTACTTATGGGAGTTTGGTTATGGTTAATGTAACTGTTAAAGTATTCAGCTAATAGACGATAAATTATGGAAAAAATAGTTGCTGTTAGACAATCCCATGATAATTTTTAAATTATGGCTTTTAACTGACAATAATACATTTTTATACCGGTGCTAAAAGTGGAATTAATATTCAACATATTTATTTGCCATTTGTGCAAAGTACTTGAGTAATTTTAAATGAATTTTTATATTCGTTCGGGTTTTTACGTAATGGCAAAGAAATTTAAAGAAGATGTAGAGATCTTATCGATTAGCTTTTATAGCATTTGCGTTTTACTTTTTCATTGGTGTTTGGTATGTTTTCTTTTTGTTTGATTTAATATTAAATGGGCTTAAGCTGAATTAGATGAGCCAAGTTTTTTTCAGATTTTGGCAAATATCTAATCTATCATCTAAATATTTTGGAATTATAATTTTAGTTTATGCTTCTTTCGCATTTTTCTGAAACTCATTTAGGCGCTAATGAAGTTTGTCATTTAATGGAGTGAAGAGATCGGAATTTGTGACAAATTATTGTGAGAGGTGAAGGGGACTCTCTTCGCTACATTTTAGGACAGTCAAAATTTCTTTGTAAGTAATGGTATCTTAATATTACAGATGTACATACCACGACGAATTTTTCATTCCAAAACATGTTTGTTGGAAGAAAATTTGTTTCTTGTATTCATTTTTTTATCCTGAGCTTTGATACAAGATGGAACCAAATTGCATTCTTACACATTTACTTTGTATAATTCGAAGATTCCACAGAGATAACATGGAATTTTTCATTCAATTCATCAACGAAATGAAATCGTGTCACGTCTTTCAGACAGATTGTTATATTCACAAATTGTAATGTATCGATAGAAAAGAGTTGATTCTGTCGAATTAACAGGAAATATAACTAGGTACTAGGAATTTTTATTGCTTCTTTTGTGGAATTATTACTTTTCTTTTACTACCTCTTCCAAGGCACATTCAAATGAAATTCATGTAAAGCTCTGGTTTAGTGATTACGTGTGCGTGCCTTGATTCCCGAGAAACAAAGAATTCTCTTTTGTTCTTTAATATTAAAAGCTACAGAAAAAATTGTACAGATTACGACATGTGTTGTTATTTATCCTGATCGACATCACCCAACTCTCTCCTAGTTCCCCTCGAAAATATTCAACATTCAATTGTTTTTTATTTTTCATCGATTTTTAAGAATTTTCTTTTTCTTGGTTGATGAGTGAGTAGTAGGTTGGACACAGAATTACGTCAACTTTAGGCCGTATAATATGTACAGAGACGCGGGATTAATAATTAATTTTTTTATCAATTGAAAAAAGCAACAATTTCATTGTTTTTTCTGTTTACTAAGTTATTTCATTGGAGGTAAATAATTGTTTGGTCTTTAGCAATGAGAAATAATTGAATTAATTAATCAAGTATCAATGTTTTTACTTCTTTCAATTAAAAAATTGAATCATCAAATTGTTTCGTCTTTTATTTTCACTGCGAACTGTACAATGAAAGATCACCACCAAATGGTTAAGTAAATCGATCTAATGAGCAACTAAAGAGAAAGGACCCTTAAATACTTCCACTGGGATATGTAAAAATAATTTAAAGGTATTACTTTCGCACCATTTTTCATTATGGGCTGATCGACGTAACTAACAGTACTCATTTAGATAACAATTATTAAATATGAAATCGAAATAGGCTTCGCATTTCTTTCGATCTTTGCAAATATTGAATTCAATATGAGTGAGTGGTTTTAATTACTTATAATTAGTCTTCGAAAACAAATTTGTAATTTAATTCAGAGAAAAAAAATCAGACGAAAAAATATTGCACTCTATTGAGGTACTTTTACTCTATTTTTCTCATAATTTTTTCTTCCATGTGGATTTAAATGCTACCTCCACTTTCACAGAATTGTTGTAAAAATTTTACTGAAATTTACAGATACAATTTCATCTCTCAATTTTCATCGTTAAGGCCCGGGGGAATTGTCTTTCAACCGCTCTCTCAATTGTTTTTCCATCTTCATAATGTAAAATATATCACAATTTCCATTGAATTTTACATCACACAGAAGTCCGTAAAAATTATGATTATACAATCAAAGAAAGTAGAAAAAACAACTGAACATTTTCAAAGAGCGGTTTAATAAAGATTAAGACATAAGTCCGATAGAGAGGAAATGACTCTAATAGTGAATGGATAATTTATCATGGTAACTAACGATTTGACAGCCATTGTCTGCTGTGACAAATGACGACCTAACAGCCATTAGATAAATCAAATTATTAATTTGAAATTTCCTGCCTATTGGGTTTATTTTCGAATATTATTCAAAAACAGTTTTGAAAATGTTCAGATCTTTTTTCAATATTTTTTTGATTGTACAATCACAGTTTTTGGAGACTCCAGGACTATGTAAAACTGAATAGCAATTGGAGATCGTTTCAGATTATGAAAAGAAAAAAAACAATCAAGATCACGTTCGGAAGATAATCCACCCCGACCTTAAATAAAGATAAAAAAATTCAAGTATTAAGTTTTAGTTTGTCTGAAATTGAAAAACATTTTTCTTTATGGAATGCCATAAATCCGCTGTAAATTCTTCAATCATTTCTACGAATTCGATTAATCAGATTGTATAGTTTTCTAGTGTTTCAGTCCTTCAGTCATTCCCATTCGGTGTAAATGAAAGTTTTATAAATGCACTTTGTAGATTGTTGATCAAAGATTAACTTTGAATACGAGAAAATTATTTAATAGATGATTAAATTTAAGTGTTTGAAGTGTGAGTAATTGTGATTGCCTCGAAGCAAAATTCATAAATTGTGGTTGTTCTGATCCAGATGTGGACGGCTAAGTACGAATAATGATAATTATAATAGTGTATTTTGAGATAATACTGGTGTTGACAATTAATTTATTATTGATAATCATTATTATTCAGTTAAACCCAAATGATTATTGTATGTAATACTACAAGAGCTGTAAAATTACAACTTATTTTTCGATAGGTTCGTTAAGCACAAAGGAAAAAGTCAAGTGTTTCAGGTTAACTCTAGTCTGGTCACCAACACGATCCAGCGACTTGGTTCTCTCCGCGGGGATTGGTCACTGTGTTATTTAGAATTTACTCTACACACTGGATTTTTCCTGAAAAACTTGACGAGTTCGTTTGAATGCAGGGGACTTTTAGGGAAATACGTGATTAATTTTGAAGCTCGAGTGGTGTTCGGAAGAGAATATTTCCATCCAAATTCCGCCCAAGAGAATTGCACTCTGAGACAAAATTCACCAGTCAGTTCCAATGAGGGGCTCACTCGACCAGGAAATCTTTTGTTTTTCATATATATATGCACTAGTGCTTCAAAATTATCGGATATTTTCCGATAGCTTCGTTGCCTAGAAACGATTGTGTCAAATTTTGCAGGTTTAAAATTCGCAGGGATTATTCTGCGAAATTTGACATCTCGGTCCTAGGCAGAGAAGCTTGAGGAAAATTTCCGATTAATTTTCAAGTACGAGTGGTATTTGACGGGTTATTTTTCCACTCGCATTTCGGCCAAGCAGAGTGCAGTGAACATCCGGATACATTTACACAGCCATACATTTACAACCTACTTTTTTGTTTATCTGTCACACAGAATATTAAACGTGAAATGCGTTGAAAGATGAGAAACATTTGAAAAGCTACTATAAATTTCCGTCGGAAATTTTTTGGAAATTTCCACAAGTAATAACGAGAGCTTCAAAATTATCGAGCAATTTCCGATAGGTTCATTGCAAACAAACGAAGGAGTCAAGTTTTTCAGGTTAAAAAATCACGAGCGCGACGCACGAGTTTTCCTGATCCGATTTTTCCTGAAAAACTTGACGACTTCGTTTGTGTGCAGGGAACCTTGAGGGAATTACTCGATTAATTTTGAAGCTCGAGTAGTATTCGGGAGGGAATTTTCCCATCCAAATGTCGGCCAAAAGAATTGCACTATGAGACAAAATCTATCTGACAGTTCCAACCAGGGGTTCACTCGACCACGGAATCTTTTGTTTTCCACAAATATAGTCAACATGAAAAATTACCAGTTGAATTATCAAAAATTATCAGCTGAACACCGTGTTGACCATATGAAATAACAGTCGAATAGTGTAATTCTATTGGCTGACATTTGGATGAGAAAAATTCCCGAAATAAAACTGTTTGACAGCGTCAAATACTGCGCTTTGATTGGTTGAAATCCGAGTGAGAAAAATAATCAGCTATAATACTCCAAGACCTTCAAAATTATCGGATATTTCCCGAATGTTTCGTTGCATAGCAATGAGAGGCATCAGTTTTGCAGATTAAAATCCCGAACGCGCAGCGCGAGGGATTTTACTGCAAAACTGATCCCGATCGTTGATATGCAGGAAAACTTGAGGGAAATATCCGATTTTTATTCGGCGGAGAATTTCTTCAATTCTGATTCTGGCCGCTCAGGGTGCAGTGTTCGGGGTTACGGGACACATTTCACCAAAATGTGAGGAATATCTGTCAAATTCGTAGAAAACAATTGACAGGCTACAGGGAAATCATCAGTCCGATAATTTCCCTGCAGCCGGGGAAATAATCAGTGTGAAACGCATCACGTGACCCCGAATACTGCACTCTGATTGGTCAAAATCAGAATTGAAGAAATTGTCAGTTGAATATTGTGTCGACTATATAAAATAACAGTCGAATAGTGGAATTCTATTGGCTGAAATTTGGACGGGAAGAATTCTCTTGGAAAATCGATTACCTCTAAATAAAAAAACCGAATGGACCGAAAACTACAGAGTTGAAATTGTTCTCCCGAGTGATCGTGTCACGAATAGCAGAATTACTGAATAAAAATGGAGATAATATTATCAGTGACATTATCACCACCGCATTAGACCTGCGGATAATTAAGGGTTGATAACTGATTGTAATTATGGAAGTATTTACAGACCACTGGAAATTCATTCATAAAGATAAATAACGCGCAAATATGAGGGACAATTGCTGAAGTTATTTGGGGAGAGGCATTCGTGTTAATGAGAGTAAACTTGTTCAATTCACATTAAGCGAGAGATAAAAATAGAAGGAGAATTGTTGGTATTTTAGGTTGATTTACGAGTGTGCGTATTTATTGTAGCCCTTATGATTGAAGTATAAGAAGTCACGATTTAATGGATGCTTCGTCAAATTATTTGCTCAATAAAATTAATTTTGTGCTGAAATAAAATAAAAAAATAAATTATTCTTTTTACAAATGTTTAAAGATGAAAATATGAACAAATTCGCGGAATAAATTTGATTTTGAATTTGTTCCCACGAGAAAAGCTAAGTAACATATGTTTCATTCCACCACAAATTTCACTCAATTAAATTACTCAATATTGGAATTTAAAACTCAATCACTATTTATCATGGCCGATTCCGTAAATTAAAAAAAGACGTGGAACAGATCCTAATTGCTAAGAACATCTCTTGAGCACTTCATTGATGTTCAACGTTTCCACTAACTGTTTTTTTACGAATTAATTCTCTCATATTCATTGAGTTATTTTTATGCTTATTCTCGTAAGATGCTCAGACTATCATTTTTTGTATGAAACGTTTACTGTTACTTGCTTATTGAACAAATTCTAGAGACATCAAAATTTACATAGCATTCATTGAAAAAGGAATTATCTGATCTGTTCATTCTAGGGTTTTTCATCTTTTCTTGGGGAGTTATTTTCCATTATGTATACACACTCATGTTTATCAAAGTTGTTTATGATGAAATTACGTATTTCAGACAGTGATTGATTCGTCATTCATTATTATCTGAATTTATTTCATTTTGCCCTCAGAAAAATTATTCTTCAACGAAATTGTTCATTTTAGGATCATTTTATCATCGAATTGTAAACTTCCCTTCCCAATTTATTTATCACAAATTGAAGTTAAGTAGAAATTGATTTTTTTACGTTGAATATAATTTCTTTTCGGATTTATTTTATTTAAAAAATACAGACTAACTACACAGCTTAGGTCCGACGATTGCTCTCAGAAAAAAGTTCATGGACTAATTTACACTAGTCCCACCTGCTCGTCGAGACGAAATTAAAAATAAGTCAACTAACTAGCCAATCTAACCATGCTATAGTAATCCTTAATAAATTTATTAAAAAAAAATATTTCGTTCTTTCTTTTTTCGCATTAGAAATTGAGTTTATAGTACCCATCGAGCCTTGAAAGCTTCCCTGGTTCGTACTTGCATACATTTTCATTATTTTTAATCATTTTCAATCAAAATTTCATTTTTCAACATTTCAGAAATCCAAAGTCTTCCAAAAATAATTTTAAATATATTCAAAACCCTGGAATTCAAGTAATTCCTGCTCATGATTTCGATCTTTAGCATGCTTTACGATTATTGTATTTTCAAGCAATCCTTTTGGGCTTTGAAATATTAATAAATGGTTCTGGGAAAAAACTCAAGGACTTCCCAATTTTTACTATTTAAAAAAGTAAAAATGAAACACGAGTACGACGCGCATCTCCTTTGGCCCTTCTGGCCATCCCAAACTGTCAGACAGACGGATCGCTACCGGGTGCTGATCCACTCTTGGTGCCATCAGCACCTACCCCAGTACCATCTCCATCAGCCCCTGAACCGTCGCCCCTGTACGGTGAACCACCAGGTCCCCGAGCTGATAAACCTCGGAAATCCAGATTGTACTAGAAATTTCAGGGGTTTCGAGTATTAGTTGGCATCAAATGTTTGGAGAATTATTAAAACAGCAATTTCAGAGAGACAGACGAAGAGTGAGGGAGAGAGAAAAAAGTGTGTGTGTGCGTGTGTGTGGGTGTGAGTGACAGAGAGAGAGAGAGAGAGAGAGAGAGAGAGAGAGCGAGAGAGAGAG